ATCATACAATTATTTTTGTTGCTACTTCATAACTGTGATTTTGCTACTGTGATGAATCGGGCGACCTGTGAAAGGGTCGTTCGACCCCCAGGTTGAGCACCACTGGCTTATAGGAAAAGCATCGTCTAACCTCTGACCAATGAAGCCATGAGGCCCTTCTGAGCAACAGTGCTTCCTGACTCATAGCGCTCTCCAAGAAAGAAGGATGCTGGGAAGGAAGAGCCAAGGGCCTCTTCCGCGGAAGGGGATTCGTGTCTGATGTTCCAGGCCTGGCGATGCCCACCAGAGCCCAAGCCCTCCATCGACCATCTCCACCCCCAGCCGATACCACACGGGGAGCACCCAATGGCGTCCAGGCACTCACCAGGACCGGCCGCATCTCACAGCACACCAGCAGGGACGCCAGCTCCACATCTTCGCTGTGCCCATTCTTGAGAGGAACCGACCTGAAGCCTGCAGGGAGAGGGGAAGCAAGGCAAAGGTGGGTGGTTCGCGTCCGACCCTGGTTTCCTCAGGACACACAAGGCTCCCGTGCCCAGTTCAAAGGGCAGACAGGTCCACATCCTATGCTGGAGGGTGGGGGAGGACTTCCTGGCCATCAGAGGTACCAGCTGAGGGGAAAGGGCTTAAAGAAAGCAACTTTGACCCATAGCTGCATATAGTGCGACGTGAAGACAAGCTACCTACCTTCTAGGGGCTAAAGAGCCTGGGACTAGAATCAATATAAAGCCCACAGAACATTCCATGTCGTGTTAGAGAAACAAATCTATGGATACACATATGTGTATAAGAAAGAGATTTATATACAAGAGCAATCGAACATTGAGAAAACATCCCAGTCCAGATCAAGTCCATAAGTCAGATATTAGCCCATATTTCTGATATCTATAAAGTCCTCTTCAGACTCATGAAACACATGCAATGACACCGAATGCAGGACGATCACAGGCCAGTGGGTAGAAAGTCTTTGGACCCAGTGTCACTGGAAGCATCTCAGCGCTGGCAGGGGTCTCTGTGGCTTCTCCGGCTTCCAGGGTCTAGTTGCGTCCACGTGGTTTGTCTTCGGGAATGTCTCCCACGGAGTAGCAGAGAGAGAGAGAGAGAGGTGTCTTCCACTTCCAAGGAGGAAGTAGCAGATTTCCCAGAAGGCTATGCCCACACAGAAGAAGTCTCATTGGCTAACTCCAGATTGACAGCCCAGACTCCACCCCTGCACTCTTCATCCTTAAATTGACAACAGATTAGGTGAGTACAACACATGTTGATTCAAGAGTGATGGCAGCTGTGGGTCACTCCAATACTCCTGAGGACTCCAAGCAGTCATGACTCACATCCACTTCTGGCCACATCGGCCCTGTGGGTCACTCCAATACTCCTGAGGACTCCAAGCAGTCATGACTCACATCCACTTCTGGCCACATCGGCCCTCGCCAAGCCTGGGACACTGGGGCGTACGTGAGGGTGAAAGATTTTCAATGGCAGTTCACAGCAGGATCTCGAATCCTCCTCAAAGCCATTCTCTACTGCGATTAGGCCCTGGTTTTGACAGTCCTTGAAATGCCTTTAGTTTGGGCAGGACAGTGGAGCTGTAGCTTCCCCTCCCTCCCCTCCCTCTGCGTTAAGTAATGTGTGCAGCAATACATCTCAAGGGTTTGTTTTAACCAAGTAGTAAGGTTACTTTCACAAAAGGAGGCCTTGTTAACAATGGATTAGTCAAGATGTGCTGGGGTCACTTTAGTATTTGTCCAGCATAGTGGCAACGTGCCCATTTGGGCTCTCAACCAGCGTCACAAATACAAGTCAATGATGCTATGTCCGCCATATTGTTCAATGGTGACCATTGTTTTTTTTCATCCGTCTTGACGCTGTGCCCTACAATCCCCACACCTCCCGCCCATCAGGCCCGCCTGTGGTGACCATCCAATAAACCTTTGGTCTCCAGGCACTTGCTGATTCTGGATCATGCCCCATAATCGGGACCACCCAGCACTGGCCGGTGTGTGATTGATGGTGCTTAGCATAGCCTTGTCCAGGTTTGTCCAGGCCACAGCCATGGATCAGGGCTTCCGTTCTCCATGGCTGCCAAATGTGTCACTGGATGACACACTGCCTTGCATGTGACTATTTATCTGCTGGGCACTTGGGTGGTTTCCACCATTCTCTATGTTGGAAACTTGGTTTGTCTTAAAAGTTCTTCTAATCACACCTACTCACTTCCTGTATGAGCTGTGTTCAAATTAGGGCACTGTTTGGGCTTGGGCTCAATCGCTTTTCGCTTTTCATACTATCTTGTGTGGGATTATAAAGAGACTTTTCCCCAGCTTTGTCTCCCCAAAGACATGCCAAACATTCGGGGCTTTTTACCAGCATAAGGTGGGAGGTCAGATGCTTAAATAGATCCTCCCTGAAGGCAATCAGCTGCCAGACTACTGTCTGGTCCCACAACAGGTAGGCCCTGCTTCCTGCTGTTAAGGACAATGGGCTACTTCTCCTAAAGGTTTGCAGCCACTAGCTTGGTTTCTGTAGGTGGGGTTTACACCCTACTGGTAATGGTTTCTATGGAGATCCAGAGACCAGGTCAAACCTGCTCAGTGACATCCAAAGTTAGACTGCCATCCTGAATCTAGGATCCGTCCTTGTCACATGGGTGCCCCCAATCCCTCCTCTTCCTATTACGTGTATATCCCTAGATTGTCCCCCTTTCATTGCTGTATAACCTACAGTGCAATCCCTTCCTGCGGCATATGTCTTTACCTGTAATTAGTGGGCTTGCACGCCCCTCAAAGGTATATAGGCCTGGGTTAGCAATAAAGAGCTCCCTCGGGCTCCCCTCTTGGCCTCTTGTCAGCACCCTCTCCCCCTCTCTCCAAGTGGACCACCAAGCGGGGGTGGAGGTGAGCATGCTACTATGACTTTATTATAATATTTGTATATCTCAACCATACAATTGCTTCTATCGAATCCATGATTAGCTGGGGGGGGGGGGAGACTGGCATTCCCCCAACAATCTTGGAAGAGTCTATCCCTAAACAAGATCCACCAGAACTCTCACTTCCCACCGCCTATGGTGAAGAAATCAGCATGCTTACACAATCTAGCACCTTCTGTCCTATTTCTACATCAACACGGGGTATAATGCCCGCATTCTGTTCTATAACCCTAATCGTGCCACAAGGGGAGTCAGTTGTATTCTTCTAGCATGTTGTTATAAACATTTGCAAATATCTATCATTTGATTTAACTACGTACTTCTATTCACTGACGGTTGATCCAAGTAGAGTAAAATCCTTGGCAACTTGCAGGATTCTCTCTGTTTCTCAGACTGTTGTTTCTGGGCCCACCTGGAGGAGGGGCTTCCTTTTCTTCCTGTTCAGGTGGAACGCAGACAGGAGGCTGTCCTCTCACCTCCGACCTTCCTTGAGTGCTCCAGGTTGTCTTCGTATCTGGCTGGCAAGATCGTGTCATCCGCATGTCACAGGTTGCTCCTGAACCTTTCTCCACTCATGATGAGATAGATACGGATCTTATACTCTGCCCTCTTGAAGAGACTGTTGGATCCGTATGGCGAAAGGATACAACGGTTTTGCGTGGTTTTCTGTGGCTGACCGCCGTCCTCCACATGGCGGTATAGCTATTAGTGGTGTGGGAGCTGCTGGGTCATGCAGAGGGCCGTTCAGTGACGTGGGGCAGAGGTCTCATGGGACATGGAAAATGGAGAAAGGGGGAATAGAGATGGGAATGTTGGGGTAGGGGAGGAGTGAGAACAAAACAAAATACGTAAGTGCTTGTTTGGTTAGGCTGACAAGTTGGTAGAAATAACAGGAAAACGTATTTTAAGAGGGGTAATCAGAGTTACTAATCCACTGAAATCTATTAAGAACAAAGACGGTGATAACGGGTAGATGTGCACGGAGACAAGGGGCACAAGACTTGGGCGTAGTTGTTAGTTTTTGTTGCTATGGCAATGTGAATGTGGGCATGCCAGTACCCTCAGATAGGGGAAAAAGGAAGAAAAGCCCTTGTTTGGATTGGTGTGCCTGGATCCAAGGGCTGCCTGTTTTTGCCTGGGGGAAGCGGGTATTCTTAGGAGGGTGGGGCTGTCCTGGAAGAGGAAGTGGGAGAGATGTCCAAAACTTAGAGGAGTATTGTAATAGAACAAAAGTACAAAGACCGAAGAAAAAAAGAAGGTGAACTCATCTTGTGGGTAGGGATTCCTGCTCTTTGACAGTTTTACTTTGAAGGTGGGGGGGAGGTGGGGGGAGAAGGGGAGAGGGCACTGGAGCCCATAGCCGGAGAGGAGGGGAAAATAGAAACAAAGAAGAGAAGCGTGGGGCCTGCCCTCACAGAGCCACCTCCCAGAGGCCAGTGAGGAAGGGGGTTGGCTGGCTGGGCCATCGGCTGGGCCGGCTCACAGAGGGACCTGTCCACTGGCCAGTGGTAAAGGGGAGTCTGTAAAGCAGGACCTGCTGCTCTCCCGGGGTTAAGAAACATGGTCTACTTAGCTGTATGTTGAACTTCTTGCTGGCAGGAAGTCCAGGACACCCCTCCTCGTGGACCTTCTTTCCTGGTAGCTGCGGAGGACGACCTTCCTCAGTGCCTGTCCGCCGGCAGCCACCTTGTCCTCTGCCCGAAAGGACCCAGCTCTGAAGCCCACCTTTTCTGGGTTCAAACCACACACTCTGTTGCAGTACCTGCTCCCTCCGATCCATGACATGTTTCCACAGGAACACAGTTACGCATGCTGAATCACCATTGTGTTAGTTGTAGTTTGCTCTTCACACGATGGGTGAAATGCATGCAGGCGTCTCTGAACTCTTGTGCTCCGCTAAGATCCAGCCTGGCATCAGCAATGATATTGGTTGTCGGCCTGGTGTGTGATAGTACGGCTTTGTTCGACGACTTCCACAATAGGCTGGGTCTACTTTTCTTTGGAGTGGGTGCAAATAGGAATCTCTTCCTGTGAGTTGGTCAAGTAGGCGTCTTCCAAATTCCTTGGCACAAGACTGTTAGAACCTACTGGAATGCTGGTGCTTGTGGAGCTGAGAGCCCTTTGGGTACTGTGGCCGCCTCCTGTATCGTGTGCTCCAAGCAGGGCAGTGTTGTCTGTTGGGCCCTTGCCTGAGCTTAACCCACTGTGCCATTTCTCCAGCTCTGCATCTTTACTCTGGGCAGCCCTTCAGGCATCCAGGGTGAACGATGTTCCCCAAACCCACCTAGGAGAGGTCAAGTCTCTGGAGTGGGGGTGCTGGGAAAAGGGCTCTTGCGGGGTGAGGTTATCACATAAAATCAACCACATGGTAGCATTTTGGTACATGTGTTGAAATACCTCTATCTAATTCCAAAACATTTCATCACCCCAAAATGAAACCCCATAATCCCCCTCTCCCCTGACAACTCCTAATACTACTCTCTCTCTGGATTTGCTTATTTGGAAGATTTCATATCAAAGGAATCCTACTCCACGTGGCCTTTTGTGGCCGGCTGCTTTTGGGTAGCACATTGGTGCCCAGACTTATTGGGAAGGCACCACCCTGGCAATTAAATGTCTGTTCCCGCCCGAACCCCATCTGTAGACAATTGGACATCCCCTCACAGAACGGTCACAAGGAAGAGACGAGCCAGTCAGGGTGCAGCATAGCACCGATGAAACATACAACTTTCCTCTAGTTCTTGAATGCTTCCTCCCCCGCCCACGATCATGACCCCAGTTATACCTAACAAATCCAGCTAGACCAGAGCATGTACAGATAAGAGCTGGAAACACAAGGAATCCAGGACAGATAAACCCCTCAGAACAATGAGAGTATCGATACCAGGAGGGTAGGGAGAAGGGGGGGAGGGGAGAAAGGGGGAACCAATAACAATGATCGATGTCTAACTGCCCCCATAACCACCACCCCACCCCACCAGGGGGGCAAACAACAGAAAAGTGGAGGAAGGCCAACAGCGATCGGTGTAAGACATGAAAACAAAATTATAAATTATCGAGGGTTCATGAGGGAGGGGAAACAAATGAGGAGCTGATACCAAGGGTTCAAGTAAAGAAAATGTTTTGAAAATGATGGCAACATATTTACAAATGTGCTTGACACAATGGATGCATGTATGGATTGTGATAAGAGCTGTAAGAGCCCCAATAAAATGATTTTTTTAAAAGTCCTATAGTCCACGATCCAGGCAGAAGTACAGGGATTAATTTTGCAGTGCTCCTGGATTGTTACAGCACTGTCCCCCAGGGGGCGGTAGAGCCCGCTCCAGGAGACGGGGACTTAGCCTAAAGTTTACATCATCCTTCTGGGCTTAATGGCACGCCTTGGTAGGAAAGTACTAACACTATTTTCCTCGTGTGTTGAATGTTTCACAGGGAAACGGCTAAAGGAAACGTTTTTTCTTTCTCACTCCCCCAGGTAGCAGTGGGGCGGCCTCAGACAAGCAGACCGGCACAGCAGGTGGAATGTGCGGCTGGAAGACTGACCTAGGGGGTTAGGATCCCAGCAGGTGTGGGAACTTGAACAGGTGAGTGAACAACTTTACATATCAATGTGCGCCTCTTTCAAGAGCCTCTTTCACAGAAGGTGGTGTAAGGATTGAGAGAAAGAAAGTTCAACGTCCTTAAGCCCTGGTAAGTACAGTGAATTTCTTATCTGGCTACCAACCACAAGGTCAGCACTTCAGACAGACCGGCTGCTCCTCAGGAGTAAGATGAGCTTTTCCGGGCCGGTCAAGATAAGATGCACAACCTTGGCCTCCTGCCCTCAGGGGCAGTTGGGTTCTGTCCTTACAGGACCGGGAGCTGTTGGAAACCACTCCATGGGAGTGGCTGGTGGTGGTCATTCAGTAATGAACCCTCACTCCTGTGTCAGTCTTCATACTGTGGTGGCTTGCGTGAAGCTCCAAGTCAGCAGTTCTCAACATGTGGGTCGAGACCCCTTTGGGGGGTCGAACGACCATTTCACAGGGGTTGCCCGATTCATAGCAGTAGCAAAATGACAGTGATGAAGTAGCAACGAAAGTAATGTTATGGTCGGGGGTCACCACCAGGTGGGGAACTGTATGAAAGCCTCGCGGCATGAGGAAGGTTGAGAACCACTGCTCTAAGCTATGCCACTGGTGTCTCAGGGCCACCCAAGGTAAAGGGGTTTCTTCCCAGACGGGCTAGGAAGAAAGGCCTGGTGGTCTGCTTTGGCAGGTGAGGGGAAAGAAGGCCAGCAAAAAGTTGTGGGCAGCGGCAAAACACCTGCTCCGAGCAGAGTGACCTTCAGGTGTGGACAGAGCCAAGCTCTCTAGCTCTGGACCTTCCTTAGCTGCGGTGTGTGGCAGGACTCAGAATAAAGAGCCGCAAACATCCATTAATAATGGGAACGTGGGATGTGTGGAGACGGAATCCGGGGAAATTGAAGTTGTCAAAAATGAAATGAGCGTGCTGAAATGGACTGGTATTGACCAGTTTGAATTGGACAGTTAACATGATCCACGGCACCACGAATGACATGTTCTTTCTGAAGAAGACTGGGATCCGAGGCCCCTCTTCACTGTAAGTATCTTGAGCTACAGGGCTGTCAATTACAGGATAATATTCATGGGCACTCGGGGAAGGCCAGTTAATACGGCCATTCAAGTTGACGCACCCACCACTAAAGCCAAAGACGAAATTGAAGATGTTTATCACCTGCTGCAGTCTGAAATTGATCAAGCATGTACATCCAAGAGTCATGGATAACTACTGGTGATTATAATGCAAAAGTCGGAAAATAAGGCCTTGGTGAAAGAAATGACTCACTCCACAGTGCACAGCTCTCATGATAGAATTGTTTGGCAAGACCAGTGACTCGCTCATTGCAAAAACCATTTTCTAACAACACAAATGACAATTATCCATATGGACATCACAGGGTGAATCAAACCAAAACACGAAACCCCCTGCCACTGAGTCTATGCCAACTCATACCGACCCTATAGGACAAGGTAAAACTATCCCTGTGAGTTTCCCAGACTCTATTTATAGGAGTAGAAAGCCCCATCTTTCTCCACTCCCTGCTCCCCAAGCAGCTGGTGGTTTCAAATCACCGACCTTATGGTTAGGAACCTAACAAATAACCCACTAGGCCACCAGGGCTGCTAAAGAGAGGGCAGAAAGGCTCCAATTATCCTTCAGAACAGACCATCCATCACTCCTCTAGAAAACAAGTCCACAAGAGGGAAGGTATGAGCTTGAGAAGACCCCACTGTAATTTAGAGACCCTCTCAAGAGCAGATCTGACAACCGAAGACCAGAGTTATGGGATGGCACCATGCAAGGGGGACCCCCGCCCCTAAAAACAAAAAAAAAGAGCAACTGACTCTGAGCTAGTGCACCCAGTGGCATTGCTTGGGAAGGTTCTCTCTGGTCACAATAAATTTCCTCGATTTTTGTGACGGTCTATTTAAGAGAACAGTGTGCAGCTGTGAAATTGTGTTTCTTTCTCAGGAAAAATGCTGCAGACACTGCTGTGATGTTGAACACAGATGACAAGGACAGTGCCAAGGGAAAAACTCAAGTGTCTGAGTGGTTTTCTTGTTTCCAAAAGCGGGAAATGTCGACTGATGATGAACCTCATTCTGGACATCCATCAACTTCCCAAACAGACAAAAATGTCCAGTCGTGGTGCATTTGGAGCTCATTCCACCAGGTCAGACTGTTAATCAAGCTTTCTTTTTAGAGGTTTTTAAAAGATTTTGTAACAGTGTGCAACAAAAACCTGATTTGTGACAGATGGGACTGGTTTTGCCATCATGACAACGCACCTGCTCATGCTTAGCCTTTTCCTAAGGAGCCCTGGTGGCATAGGGGGTGACTCGTTGGGCTTCTGACCTGGAGGTTAGCAGTTTGAAACCACCAGTCGCTCTGCAGTTCAACGATGAGGCTTGCTACTGCCATGAAGGGCTGGCTCACGCAGCCATCTCAGTGTGCCAGTTTTGGGCAAAAAAAACCCAGCATGCCTCTCTTGCCCCACACACCTGACTCACCTGACCTCACTCCGTGTGACTTCCCTCAAATGAAGAAGGACATGAAAGGACAGCGCTGTCAGTCATCCAACAGATGAGTTTGAAAAATGTTTCCAAAAATGGAATCACAGCTCTGACAAATGTATTAAGTGCAATGGAGAGTACTTTGTAGGTGATAAGGTTGTTTTGTAAAAACAAAATTTAAACACTTAGCTTTTTGGGGGGACGACCCCATTGTACATTGAGCAAACAGCAAGGTCACCGAAAAAGACAGGAAAGAAAAGAGACCAACGTGGATGTCGAATGCTTAGGAAGGCAGAGCATTCCTAAGAGACCAGAGGAGGCAGTGACGTCAGAGCCGGCACAAGGAGACAAAGGGACGTTGTGACATGTTCAAGCCCCGGGATTAAAAAAGCAAAGAAGTGCAGCCGGGGCCCTGGAGGAAGAACTGACTCAGCCTGCACCTTCCCTGGCCCCCATTGGGGGCAAGATCAGACAGATGTTTTTAAGGCCAGTGGGAACAGGACCCTGCTTGGCTCCCCAGAGTCCAGGGTTTCCAAACAACTGCGAGAGACAAGACCAGGTGATAGTACACCTCTCGTATCCCCACTATCAAGAGAACAGCAACACCCCAAACTCCCTGCCACTGGGTCGATCCTGACTCCCAGCGACCCTCTGGGCAGGGCAGAACTAGCACTGCCCCTGTGGGGTTCCACGACCAGCCCTTCATGGCAGTAGCAAGCCTCATCGTTGAACTGCAGAGCGACTGGTGGTTTCAAACTGCTAACCTCCAGGTCAGAAGCCCAACGAGTCACCCCCTATGCCACCAGGGCTCCTTAGGAAAAGGCTAAGCATGGGCGGGGGTGTCTTTCAGCATCTAAGAAAGACCTGTGACGGAAACATGGCACGGCACACCTAGCAGAGCAGGTGACTCCTTCACACAGACCGCCACAGTGCAGCTGAAAACCTTGCTAGAAAGGAAGCCACACTCCGCCTCCTGGTTTGTTTCCAAGTGCACAGACCCCTCAGACAAGTAACAGTCAGCAGCCAGCATCAACGGTGCAACAGGGTGATGAGAAAGCGTGAGATGTTGTAGAAACTTCCAAAACGTGACTATGCACGTAATGTGGTGCTGGAAAAACAGAGCCAAGAGGTCTGCTCGGTATAGGATTGCCCCAAACCCGACCCTTGTTAAAACAGCAAAGCAAGGCATCCCTGAAGCTCAGTCAATCGAGGCTTTATCCTATAGGATAAGGCTCAGTGGGTAAATACAACCTTGGTGCGTGCCACAGGGGTCTTATGGTTTGGAGGGTTTCGGGGAAAACAGTTTTCATTCGTTTGAAAAGCATCAGCGACGCCCCACTGACGTCTGCGAAGCCCCCCAGCTCCCCTTACCTGACCGGATGCCTTTAATGGGGTACGTTGCGTGAGCCAGGAAGTTGGGGTCGCTGAACATGTCTTCCTCGTACACCACAAAGCGCAGGAAGGCGAGGTTGGGGTCATAGATCTCGAAGGTTACCTTCTCCTGGGTCGGGGCCCACACGGGATTTAAGCCGTTGTCATCTGGGGGGGTGGGGGTGGTGAGCTCATGAGAGGCCGCTTGTGTCCACCCTCCTGGTGAGCCTGAGACCAGGGGCTGTAGAGCTGCCTCCTGTGTGGGTCAGAGGGGACCTGTGCTCCACACGGGTTTCAATGTTGGGGAAGGAGACTGTCAGGCCTTGCTGCAAGTCTTCCTCTAGGGTACAGTCACCCTTCAAACCTTTGGGGTCAAAGCTGAACACTCCTCACACCTGCAGCGGCCTTGAAACCAGGCATATCCACAAGCTCCCAGGTGCGCTGTCTAACCTGGTGTGGGCTGGTTTTCCACCATCAGGGATCATGGTAAGGAAGTAGGGCTGGGGAGGATCAGACTATGGGGACCCGGCTCCACTCCCAAGTTAACAGGGGGGGGCAGCCGAGCTGTTCTTGGGGCTCCCTTGTGCAGGGGCAGTGAAGCAGGTGCTAGCAGCACCCCCAGTGCCTGCCATCTCTGGAACAGCAAGCTCTCCTTTCACCTCCCTGCCCCATACGGGGTGAGGCCCCACCCTCCCAGCCAGTACAGCCCTAAGTCAGCACACAGGCCGGGGCCTGCAGCAGAGGCAGCCCCTGCTTCCTCAGCAGAGTGGATGCAGACCCAAAGCGGCCTCCTGTCAAGTGCCCAGCCCCAACCACAGGTCCCCTCTACGGTGGAGAGACAGCAGGACTCGGGCACTTACTCACAACGGTCGTCTTGAACTTGTTGTTGTCGTACTCCGCTCCGCAGATCTCTACCTCCACGAAGGGGCAGGCGATGCTCCGGCCGAGCTTGGGGAGGTGCCGGGCACCCAGGACCTAGGATGTCGGTGGTAAGTGACTCATAGCATCCCCCTAGGACACAGCACTGCCCCTGTGGGTGTCTGAGACCGTAAATCTTGACCATAGCACCGAGCTTCATCTTTCGCTTACAGGGCCAGCTGGTGGCTTTGAACTGCTGACCTTGCGGCGACAGCCCAATGCTTAACTCACTATATACCGCAGGATCTTTGGGGTGCATCTGCTTCATTTTCCCACCCTTAATCAAATGGCAAACAGTTCATTTGCTGACCTTCCTTAGCATTCGAGAGATGGGTGAACTTCTAAAAAATGTGTCCTTAAAGCTGACCCCTGGATGGGAACCAGCTTTCTTCTCTACGGGGATGGACTGTGTCGGCCCCTGGGGTCTCCCTGTCTGAAACTGCATGGACCACGGATGGAGACGGTGCCCGACGCCCCCTGCCCAAGCCTCCTCTGAAAGTGGTCATACCAGGAGGTGCCCTGGAGAATGTGGAACAAAACTCAAGCATAAGCAAGACCACACTGATGGGTCTAACAGAGGCTGTGGGGGGGAGTCCCCTGAGATGACAGCCCCTAGTCACCCTTCAGGTCTG